AGCCGTATTTTTTTTTTATTTTTTTTTTTGGATCGTTCGCTGCGGGTCGCAGCAATCATTTAATATTTTTAATTTCCAGTGTTAGGCCTGGGATAGTACCGAAACCAAGCTAACAAACTAAGTAACTTAATATTTCAATTATCTCGAAGCTTTTCATAAGAGAATAAACGATTAACAAACAAAATTATTTATTATCAATTCACTTGTGTAGTTAGTTATCACGATCAATCCTATGTTGAAAACAAGAAAGTTTAAATAGTAAATTTATTAATCTGTAGAGTTATAAGTATAATCCCAAGACTTATTAAGAACACTATCTGATCGAACTCTGTCGACTCAATGTCAACTTACAGGTCTATTTATACAAGTAAACTTTATAATATAAGTTATGAAAAATAATTTATTCGATACATTTTAATAAAGTAATTCAAACTTTTACATATGTTACATGACAATTGCCGCAGCGTGAGGTCATCTGAGACGAAATACGATTTGCGACCAGGCTACAACAATTTAACGAATTTTTCAAAAAATTCATGCGCACCTTTTCTTTTCTATATGTTCCTCATTGGGCTGTATCCATAAAAGTGTTTTTTTTTCATTTAATTTTATTTATTGTATCTTAATCGGGTTGGATTACAAAAATATCGAGTTTTCTTTATACTTTAGCTTGTTGGAAGTAGGTGCAATATATTATATTTGTTTACTATTATTATTATTGTAGGTTTTCATTTTTTATAATTTTATTATTTTTTTTTTTTTTACTTTTTGATTTAACCATAGCCATTTAATAATTTTATATATATATTTTTATAAGCAAAATTCTAATAGTTGCGATAGGCATAACTCTCTAGTTTATTCATATTAAACATAAATTGATATAAGTTATTAGCTCTGATTAAGATATTATAATAATAATATATGGGAGGCGGTCAGTAGAAAAGGGGAAATCCACTTTTTAGTCAAAAATTTTTTTATTGGTTCACTCTACTGATCATGGTCATGTGAGCAAAACTAGCTTAATAACTAAAATTACTCAAAATTTGTAGATTTCCACCTTTCTATTGACCGCCCCCATATGCTAAAATTATAACATAGCATATTTATAAAAAAAAAATTGACTGAAAATTTCACTTTAACAAAATAACTAATATATTTATGGTAAAAATGCTAGATTTTGCTTTAAGTTCTGAGCTTCGCCCAAAACTTAGATTATATGATTGATTCAATCAATTATAAAAATTTTGCTGCAAGCTAACTTTTTGTGTTGTAATTGCTGATTATTTTTACTATCTAAATATCCAAAATTATTAATATACAGTAAGTAATATTAAACCGCTTAAATTTATGATTTAGTCGCTGCCTGCACTACACTATCTCTATAATTTTTGAAAATTTTGCGACAGCTGGCTATGATGATAAATATCTCGTAAGTTATATAAGTTTATCTCTCTCAATTAATATCATTAAATTCTAATTTATATTTATAACTTATTAAAAATAAAATTCCGTTAAAACTGCAGCTAATTCCTCTCTAAATAATACCATCTCATATAAATTTAATTAAATATTATAAATTTTATTAATTAGAAGTTAAAACATTTAAATAAATAATAGCTTGCAAATAATAATAAAATCTTAACATTCATAATAATAATGCGGATTAATTAATGAATATTATCGATACTAAAAAATTGTATTCACGTTTGATCTATTATTTACATTGGAACTGTTTACGATCACAATTGGAATTATAGGTTATATTCCAACCAGTGCTATTAGCTTTTAAACATATATCAAAGGGATCTCGAAGAAACTTAAGTTCATTTACTTGGTTATCTGTGGCAGATATTACACAGCTATTAGTACTATTTCCGACTATTGGACAATAAATATGACCAGAATTACCACAAGGTAGTCCGCAAAATGAAGGTTTTGGGTCACATATTTCAACATTAAACTTTCTTAAGGTAGCGCTTATTATTGATGCCGCCATAGTGTTATATGTACTGTTTTTAATAGAATTATATACGTCATCTTCATTGTCAAGCATTTTTTTATTATACGTCATTTTATTAACAGTAAAACTAGCTAATATTGACTTGTTTGCAGTAAAAAAATTATTGTGTAATGCATCGTCAAAATGAAATTGGAGATGTTCACTTGCGGCTGATAGATATGATGAAATATCTGGATAGTCTTGACCATTACCAGTAAATGATTGATGAAGATTGTTCATTAAACTTGGAAGAAAGATTATATTCATCATGTTAGCCGTAAAAAATCCAAATTTATTCGGCACCGTATCCCTCTTTTCTATAATGGGATTATCATAAAAATCTAAAAGATAATCATCAAAATCCTCGTTTTCTATTCTATCAAAGTATGACGCCATTCTAAACATTGCATTATCTTCTAATACATCTTCGTAATCTTCAAAAATACCGACATTGTCTACATCTTCCACCGCTTCTCCTATCCAAGCTTCCGCTTCAACACTGGCTATCGATCCTTCAGCTGATGATGCTACAACTTCTTCTGCAGCACCAATTTCGGCAGCGATTTCGGAGGTGGTTGCCACGAACTCACTAAACATTGCTGCGCCGAAGTAATATGCAACCGTAGGAAGAGCAATTAAAATAATGGCAGCGGATATAGGAATTATAATCATTGCGAGCAAGTTTGTTTTAGGAGGTGGCGGCGGCGGTGGGATCAATTCTTTTAGATTATCGGGAGTCATTTTAAAACTTAGTTCTTGAAGAGCATCATGGAACCCTCGATGGTGTCTCTCCCAATAATTGAATAGCTTGTTTGCCGAATTAATCATGTGATATGTAGCAACAGGGTAATAATCTGGATTGAACGAACTGCCTGAACCGAACTGAAGAGATGCAGCGTATGTTCCAACTTCATTACCAGTCAAATAATCAATGCATTCAGCTATATTTTCTGTTTGATCAATTGGAAAATCAGGTGCATCTGGGTGTTTGCCTTCTTTGCAATACTGGGCAGTTAGTTCAGTTGGAAATACATGATCTGGATTAGGTGTTTTTTGTTTATATGTAATTTTAGGGGTCGGAATAAGTTTCATTGTGTAATTACTTAAATTACACTTGTAATTGTTTTGGTCCTTTTCGGTATACGACGAAACTGTAAGATTATTCCTGTTTATATTCACAAAAAAGCTGAATTTACAATCATAAGTACATCCCCACATAGTGATGTTTAAAGATGTTAATGGTGGCTCATGCCTTATAGTTTGAACATCCCTGATCAAAAGGGACGTCGAATAAGTAATGCCATCATCGTCTATATGGAACGACGCATATTTAGAATCCACGACTTGGTCGCACATATTATAATCATGTTCTACGGTGATCCAATCAGCAATAACAGCCGATAAAAAATGTATAAGAATGTATATTAAACTTTTCTTCATGATTGAAATAATCTTTTCCCTTGTCAAAAAGTCGGGTCGGGTAAACCTTATATACTCTTTTGACAAAACCATTTCGGATTACTAATTCTTTTTTTTTTTTCATTCAACATTTAAATAATCATTTAATTTTACGATTTTCATAATCGGAATTCTCAATTTGTTCTTTTTTTTATTTTATTCTTTGAACTTAATAAGTTTATTCTTATAACTGCAGTCGATCTAGGAACAGTCGATCTCTCTTGTCTCGGAACATTACTTCATTATTTATATACAGTGTATTGTATATAATACAATTAATTTTTACAACATGATTTTTTTTTATCATCTCGCTCAATATATGGGCGGCAGTCAATAGAAAAGGGAAAATCTTCACTAAAAATTGAAATTTAATATAATTAGTTACTCAGTATAGAATAATACCCACGTAAATGATCGACATATTGTAATGTCTGACAGTAATTGAGAGCATCACTTTGTGACTGAAATTGATTTTCGTCTGAAGTTGGAATTCAGACGATCTTCTGGTGTCTGAAATTGGAATTCCAATTCCAGTTAACTGAACTTGGGATCTCAATTTCAGACACCCGAAGATCGTCTGAATTCCAACTTCAGACGAAAATCAATTTCAGTCAAACAAATATAATAATTTTATGAATTATACTAAATTTTACATAAATAATGCAAATCCTTTTGAAGAGCAAATGTCTATATTCCAATATTTTATAACATTTCTCATTACCTAGCTAGGGTTCCACAATTTCACATTTGCACAGCAAAATATTTTAAATATTTTATTCTACATGATTTATGTTTACATGATAACATAACATAAATAAGCCCGCAAAATAATAATCATGTTTATAATTTGCTTATTCAACAATATCCTTTCTTTTGTGTTTGAAGATTTTAAATTTTTGAATTTTGAAAAATGTAACTAAATATTTGTGAATATATAAACAAGAACGAAATATAGGCGGATGGATCTGTTGTACCCCAAATGCGTTAATGTCCGAAATGCGCATTTGGGATAACCCAATTGCGCATTCCGATTTGGGATATCCCAAATGCGCGTTTTAGACATCAACGCATTTGGGGTACAACAGATCCGATAAAAAAAATGAGAACTTCACAATTAGAAATTGAAACAAAAATTGTATAAATGAATTTTTTTTTTATTACCATTCTTTCATTTTACTTACATCATATTCAACTACCAATGAAATTTTTCTGGCATTAGCCACCAGAAAAAATTTTGTCCTGCATTTATTATTTACATTTTGGGCCAGAGCGACCCAAAAATCCTTCTTGGATGTATCCCAAGTATTATGATATTCCTAAAAGTACAAATTAAAAAGTAATTGATATATATAATATATTAAATAATTAAAATATTTTTATCTTTCGCTCTTCAATTAGAGCATCGGTCATTGGTCTGAAACTAACCGAATAAAAAAGCAATTTGCAATTTTAGCAAAATAATTTTTAAACATAAACTTTTATATTTAACAATAAGATCAAAATAAAAATATTATAAAAATATAAACCTTTCCAAAATAAATCGTCATAGAAGTTTCCATATGGTTTCAATCCTTATTATTGTGTCCCGCAAGAATTTATTGTGAGGTTCGATCCTTGCAACTCCTGGATCTGGAGTGCCATTATGTCGGACCATTTGACGTCGTGAGACTCGAGGAGTTTGTGAGTAATTTAAGGTAGAGGACTATGATTGTTGAAGCGAGAAGCTCGACTTGTTACGTTTAGATTTACTATAACATTAATTTGAGGTTGGAAAATGTTTTCGTGCTCATCCGATTGATTATTACTTGCCAAAGCTTATAAACATCATTGCTGGGAACGTAAAGTTGATTAATATGCTACGTTCAAGTTATATTGACTTATTAATGTCAGCGTTTTCAAAACAAAATTTTATTTATTCAAACAAATAACGCGATTAAATAAAAAAAAAAAGATTAATAAGATGTCAAAATCAAAATAATAAATTCTAGAAATTCAAAATTTTTTGTTACTTTATAAACATTTTATTTATCAACATCTATTGTCCTCCTAAATTATCCATCCAGATTTCTCATTCAAATAAACATGACCCCAAAATTAATACCGCATTCAACTCGACCTCGATCCGTCAACAAATTCTTCTACGGTGCCTTACTAGAATGTATTTCAACTGAATTTTGGTTTTTATTAAAAGAAAGAAATGTTCTTCGATTAAGTTACGTTCTTACGCTCTTCTCCTAAATTTTTAATAAGCTTTGTGAACTTCTGCTTGTGTAGGATTCCAACTCCAAGCTCGTAATAACCATCTAAATTATAAATCTCTATCAAACTAACATTTGGGTTTTATTGCTTGAAAATGCTGTAAGAAAATTAAAAAATAAAAAAAAAAAATTTAGTCAACGAGAAAAAATATATATTATAAATAAAAAAA